CATATATGAGATGTTTCATTATCATCAGTTTTTACACTTCCTTATACTTTACATATTTCATCCTTTAACTGTAACCTCATTTCAGTCAACAAATTAGCCACTGCTTCAAGCATAGACTGTTTTTCCTCTACAACCTTTTGTGTGTTGCGGGACCAACATACTAGAAAACTTTTGGCAGTGGGAAGAGTTATCAATCGATTTTATGTTCTTGATCATCAGTCATTCACACAAGACATCATTACTCAGTTTGCATCAACCCATACCAACCATCCTTTGTTGTTACAACCTAAAGCCTTTTCAGCATTTCATTCTTGTTTTTCAACTCAATCAGCTGTGGACTGGCACAATAATTCAGATTCTACTTGTGACGTTTGTCCATTATCCAAACAGCATAGATTGCACTTTCTTTTTAGTACCATACAAAGTAGTAGCATTTTTTATCTTATTCATATAGACATCTGGGGACCTTATCATCAGAAAACCATTAATGGAGCTTATTACTTTGTGACAATTGTTGATGATTATAGTAGAACAACCTGGACCGTTCTGATGCAAAATAAATCACAAACTTTGTCCATTCTTCAAACTTTTTTGTACTTTTGTTCAAACGCAGTTCTCAGTTTCTGTAAAACAGGTTAGAACTGATAATGGAAGTGAATTCCTTAGCCAAGATTGTCAATCTTTCTTCCATAAAGTTGGCATTTTACACCAAAAGACTTGTATCTATACTCCACAACAGAATGTAGTAGTAGAAAGAAAACACAGACATCTCTTGCAAGTAGCAAGGTCTCTTATGCTTCAGTCAGGTCTTCCAAAGATTTTTTGGGGAGATTATATTCTCACAGCCACATATATTATCAATAGATTGCCTTCTGCAATCTTGAATCATGTCAGTTCTTATGAAATCCTATACCAAAAACCTCCGGATTTGACCAATCTTAGAGTATTCGGTTGTTTATGTTATGCAACAAATGTTCAACCTCATAAAGACAAATTTGATCCAAGAGCACTCAAAACAGTGTTCATAGGCTATCCAGTAGGTCAAAAGGCCTATAAGCTCTATGATCTTACTACCAAAAGAGTTATTATTTCTAGAGATGTCATATTTCATGAGAAGGAGTTTCCATACTTGAATACTTCTGTACAGCCTATATCAGCAAATCCTGACCAAATTAACTCAAACCTTCTACCAGTTGATTCTATATCTCCTCCTTCTGTCATTGTACCTTCATCCACTGTTGACAATACATCATCAGACTTAAATACTCAGACCATTATTCCACTGAGAAAAAGTACCAGACATTCCAATCCTCCAGCTTGGACGAATGACTATGATCTTCAGAGTATAAAATTGGTGGTTAATGATTCTCTACAGCTGCCAAAAGGTACCTCTTCTCCTTATACGTCTTCTACTTATCCATATTGTCATGCACCACTATTTAGACCACATCACTTTTCCTTTTTAAGTGCCATAAGCTATTTGAAAGAACCAACATCTTACCAAGAAGCCAGGAATCAGCCTGAATGGATTTAGGCCATGCAGACTGAACTTGATGCATTAGAACATAATCAAACATGGGAATTGACAACTTTGCCACCAGGAAAAAGTGGGTTTATAAGATAAAGTACCACGCTGATGGAAGTGTGGATAGATTTAAAGCTAGGTTGGTAGCTAAGGGATATAATTAAGTGGACGGTGAGGATTATTATGACAGTTTCTCACCAGTGGCAAAGATAGTAACAATAAGAATCTTATTGGCTTTAGCATCAGCTTCTAATTGGTCCTAGCACTAGTTGGATATTAATAATACTTTTCAACATGGGTATTTGGATGAGGAGGTCTATATGCATCCACCTCAGGGTTATCTTAAAGGGGATTCTTCAACTGTTTGCAAGTTAAAAAGATCTCTGTGTGGCCTCAAACAGGCCTCTAAGCAATGGAACACTGAGTTCACTGCAAAAATTCTTCAATATGGTTTTAAATAGTCTGATCATGACCCTTGTCTTTTCATCAAGTGTCAACCAGGGTTGTTTCTGGCTCTCATTGTCTGTGGATGACATCTTGGTCACTGGGTCAGATGAATCAGCAATCCTGCAAGTGAAGCAATATCTCCATGATCTTTTCACCATCAAGGATTTGGGATATACTAAATACTTCTTGGGTATAGAGATTGCTAGATACTCAGAGGGAATGTATATTACACAAAGGAAATATATATTGGACATTCTCCAAGAAACAGGTCTGCTTGGCTGTAAACCAACCACCACACCCTTACCTAATGGTCATCAATTCTCATATGCTCTTGGAAATCCTATAAGCAATCATTCTCAGTACAAGAAATTAGTTAGTCAATTGCTGTATCTTGGATTTACACGTCCTAATCTTTCTTTCTCAGTTCAGCAGCTCAACAAACATGTTCATCAGCCCTGTGAAGAGCACTGGGAAGCTCTTCTACATGTACTCAAGTACTTGAAGGGAAATCCATCTCAGGGGTTGTTTTACTCTTCTGTGAATGACTTCAAATTAGAGGCTTATTGTGATGCTGATTATGCCTCAAATCCAATTCACAGGAAGTCAGTTAGTGGTTTTCTGTGTGATTCTTGGGTGCTCTCTTGTCTCTTGGAAGGCTAAGCAGCAGACCACTGTTTCTGTCTGCTCAGCAGAAGCAGAATATAGAAGCATGAGTTATACAACAAGAGAACTTCTGTGGATATCCTATCCCCTTCAGGATTTTCACATTCTAATGAAGTTACCAGTCCCTCTCTACTGTGATAATTAGTCAGCTATTTAAATGACTGAGAATGCAGTTTTCCATGAAAGAACAAAGCACTCGGAAGTAGACTGCCATTTTTTGAGGCATTACTACCAAAGTGGATTTCTTGTTCCTCTCCATGTTGATAAACGTTCACAGTTTGCTGATATTTTTACTAAGTCCTTACCTCAGCCACAACTGATGCAGTTACTGTCCGAACTCGGCCTGAAAGCTCTTTTTGGTCCGGCTTGTGGGGGTGTAGAAGTACCAGCTCAACAAGACAGCAATGCCTGATCATCAAGGCTTGATAGTTGATCAGTTAGTTGTGTAGTTGACTAATAATTAAGGGACTACATTTGTAATTTTGTTACTCTGAGTCGGTTGACAGCCTGGTATAAATGCAGGCGGTTAATGTCTGATTCAGTTAGAATAATAATTACAGAAATTACATTCCTCTCAAGCTTAAAACCCTAAAATTGATTTTTTTTTTATTTATTTTGATTATCAAAATGAACTTGATTTCTCTGTTTTAGACGAATGAAACGTTTATGTTTGTTTTATTTTTTTAGTGTGTGATTTTAGGTTTTTTTTTCTATTCGAAATGTAAAAAAATGTGTTGAAAATGTAAAATAATATGCTTGAATGAGACAATTATTAATAAAATAATCTGAAAAAATCATTAAAAAAAGCAAACAAACAGAAATTGCCTTTTCCCTATGTAAGCTGCAATTGGGCCAGCATGCCCTAGAACCTCTCAAAATTGCTATTTCCATCAGATTTGAGTTTTGCTGAGGGTATGGATGTATATTTACATGCGCCATACAAGAAGATCAGATCAGTGGTGAAAAGGCCCTTGAAAAATTGACTCGTCAATAGTTGGCAAATAAAAATTTTGACGGAATAGTGAAAAAGGATTAACATAGTTTTAAAATAAAATGTACTCTTGCATAATTATTGGAATCTCATATGTTAATGTACAGAACTAAATTTGATTTTGGTCAAATATAAAAAAACCAAATATGTAGATTAGCCTTAAAATTTGATGTTTTTTTGTTATGTGTTTGTACTTTGTCCAACGTTTATTGGGATTTCTGCCGTACCTTGCTGATGATGCACCGAATTGTTGTTTGAATCGTGGTTTGAATTTCGATTTGAGCCTGGTTTTTTCTGTTTTGCGTTAGGTTTTTTTTTTTTGGGGGCGGGCTGTGCTTATTTTGATCTTAATATAATAACTATTATGATTATTGGATGATTTATGTCAGGTTCCATCGTAATTTGTCCACTTTGTGATTGTGCAATAAGGATGAGAGTTTACGATACTGATTATTGGATTTCCGGGTTTTAGTAATTTTAAGAGTATATAATTGGAGGCAGTATAGTATGATAGTTTCTCCATTCTGCTTGGCTTTGAGTTTTGATGGTATGCTTTTCTCATGGTGGTACTAGACTATACATTTTCGGCTACCTACTGGAAAGTTTGAGAATCCTGATCCCTTTTGATCTCATTAATTTATGCAACTATGGAAGGATTGGAGTATTTAGCTGTATGTTAGTTCCAACTACATCCCCCCTCACTCTGGTGGATTTCAGGATCTTTATTTCTTGATTTTGCCCACAACCACAAAAAGCTTCATTCAATCCCTTTTTCTTTTTTTGGGGTCTATTATTTAGATGATGCAATTGCAAAGTTCTTGGCAATGAGAAAACAGAAAGCATATCAGAAGTGCCAGGAGTTGAAGAAGGCATTGATGGAACGCAGGTCCTAGGAAGGTAACGTTGATGGACGACAAGTTACGAGATCCTTACCTAGACCAATTTTTCATACCAAACATATGCGTCGCTGTCGCAAGAGCAGTGGTTAATGTGTGTAATCATAGCTAGCCCTTGGCCCTTAGCAACTTTCCTTTGCATTGTACTATCAACTCCTTAGTAGTGAAATTTGGTTATGAATAAAAAGAATTGAGGAAATGAGGGTTGCACTGGTTATGGAATGTTTGGTAGTTGATCATTAAATGTGACATGTAGTTGCCTCTTGTCACGTTCGTAATGGGAGGAATTTGCATTGAAAGGGTGATGCAAATTAGCAGTAGAACTGAGAGAAAAAGAATCAATCCAATAAATGGAGGGTTATTACAGTACAGTAGTTCTCTCTGAGTCATCCATGGGAGGTATATGTATATATTCACCCATGACAACAATTGGACAAGTCAATATAATGTTTATTTCAAAACAGGAAGACAATGTATGTCAGAAAGCAGCAGTGCCTTCAATAAGAAGTTTGTTCAACTTCTTGCTTCTCAATTTCTCTGCATATGCTTCTGCTTCACTATCCTTACATTTGTACCTTTTGACAGAACCAAAATGTACAGAATCAAACCCATGAACGATGGGGGGGTCTATCATTGATAATTGAATCTGTGAATTGACATTTTTATTTTGGTTTTTGACATACCTTGGAGGCAATGTAATTAAAGGGCTCAAGTTTTCTGCAAGTTTGAGAGCTTCTTCCTCATTGCTCACAATTTGATTAAAGCAAAGGTATCTCCCTGTTGTGGATTTATCCTCAAAGGCTCTAATGTGAACATCAGCTAGAAAATTAACATCAACAAAAGCAAGAACTCCATTCTCATACATCTGCGCTGCCCCTGGATATATACATAGATTCAAAGAAATGTTTCAGAATTTGGCAAATAATGTATTCTTAAAAACACGTTCACCCGATTGTCTTTGATCCATCAATGTAAAGGTTATATATGTGTTACCTTGAAGATATGCCATTGTTACGGCCGAGTTCTGCTGAACAATGGCAGGACCAAGAACAAGACCAGCATTAATCGAAACCATATCAAGCATTCGGTCCATAGCTAATGCCCAAGCAGCCTTTTCAGAGAGTGTCTTTGCCAGGGCATACCACAACTGCATCAACAATGGGAGATAGGGATTGTAAACCCACAATCCAAAGCAGTAAACAAGCCTTTAGACATTTTTCAATATACAACTTAGACCTTCTTTTTAGTGCAATACTCTTGATCACTCCATGTCCTTTCATCTACATCTTTTTGGGAGAAAATGTTTTCTCTCCAAATTGCTGCAGTTAAAGAAGAACTGAAAACAATCTTCTCTATGGAAGCTGTGTGTGCACATGCTTCAACCACATTGATAGCTCCCATCACCTCATAATCTACATTTACATCCTGCAGAAAACAGACAAAACGATGAGTTCATTGGCAAGTTGGCACTATAATTTGTACTACAATCGGTCAATTCAACAAACATTAACTTGCAGAAAGAAAAAAAAGGATGGACACAAGCTCACATGATAGCCATCTGGATTATCTAAACAGCAAAATAAAGCACAACATCCCTTCGACGCTTCAACTATGCTTTGGTAATCTAACACATCGACTCGAAAAGTCTGCAATCTATCGTCCGTTTGAGCCAAATCCATGATTTTCTTACGGATGATTCCTTCCCCTGAAAAATGAAAAAACATTAACTCATTGTTGTATTCGTTCTTGTTGTAACTTCAATGTAAGGACTCTGTTCCGGAAGCAGAAAAGATGGAATATTTACCATTGTTTTGGACAGCTGCACGAACTGTATAACCCCTAAACAAGAGTTTCTGGACTATCCAAAATCCCACATAAGTGGAAGCATCAAGAACACAAACTGAGGCTTTATCATGACCTTTTGACCCTAAAACTTGATCCCTCTTCCCCATTGTTGTTTCTTTTGTGAACTTCAATCCTCTTTGATTTCCCTTTTCTTCTAAATACTTTTTCTTCAGGAAATATATAAGAAATGCATAAGACAAAAGGGCATCAAAAGCAACTAAGAAGGTAGATGGGGATGCCAAAACTGAACAGAGTTGGTGAACAATAATAGTTCATGTTCTCATCTAAACAATGAAAATTCCCCCTTCTAATTGTGCCAAATTGGATAAAACCCTTTTGAGCTTTTTTGATGCTTTGATTTTTTTTCAACTATTTATTACCAAAATTAAGGGAAGAAAGTTAGGTCGATTGCATCTGCTGGTATTATAACTTGCCAAGCTTTGTTCGTGTGATGTCCAAAAGAATTGGCACACCGTCATCTCACACGCAAAGACTGTTTTTTGCTTCCTTTTCCTCCTCCGCTGGATAATAATAATATCACTAACTAAGCTTGTTGTTTGTTTCCTTCGTTTAGGTTAGGTAGGAAATTTGTGGAGAGGACAAATGGGAACTTCGGTTCTTTGGCAAATTTACCTATATACGATTCTCATGGATTGTGTTTTATTACGCTGTCATAGAATTTGTTGGAACTTGGAAGCATGAACATGATCACGTGAACTCTGAAGATAGTCTCTCGCACATGTTTTTATGAGATTTGTCTCCCAATGACACCTATCCGGCTAGATCCGAATTAGTGAAACTAGTGATTTTCGGATGTTTGGCGTGTAACATACAGAAATAGTAATGATCAAATGGGAATTTTTTTTTTATTTTTTATTTTTCGAAAAAAGCTGATATTTTTTTAATCACTACAATACACAAAGTATGTACTAACCATTACTTCTCTTTAAATTTTAAAAAGTATTTACAGCTTAATTTTACTTGCTTTTCTTTTAGAAATTTATTCATATTGTTTTACTATATCTCTTTTCACTTTCAAGTTTCAACGTTAAAAATAATAAAAAAGAAAAAAAAGAAGAAGCTCCCTCCTCCCTTTGAAATGTGTCTGTTTCAAGGCAGTTTACCTAATACAGGGACTGTAATAGGACATTGTGTGAACATTCAAAGAGGTGATAAACCAATGACATTTCGAATGTTTGAGAGGTGGGATTGATTTTGTCTGGATGATGAGGCTGTAAGAAGAGAGCTGTCGAGGTCAAAAGAAGCATAAGATTGAGCGAGTTCGTTACACTGGTAAGCCAAACTTTAAAAGATATTCCAAAAAGTTTCATTTCTCAAAAGAACGGAAAAAATGTGCCGTTCACCAATTACTTAATAAACACGATCATCACTGATTCATGGATGCTAGAGGTATAATCAAGAACTTGGACTGTTAACCTCAAAACGAGCAACGATTCTTAATATCGGGTGTTAAGCAAACAAATCAGTTTTCTATTTGTCAATTAAGTGCAAAACAGATTATTGATGACCAACTTTAACGATGCAAACCAACTAAAGCACTTAAAGCTACTAAAAGCTACAGATACCAATTGATTTGTGGAACTATTAACATCCTTTACCGCTGATGTAAGGAAAGAAGAGAGATTGGTCAATCCATTATTCCTTACATCCCAAAAAGAATTAGTCTAATAGTTGAATAAAATCGTAGAACTATTTGTTTAATATATATATATATATATATATATATTATATATATATATATATATATTAGAACTTCCGGCAACTACTAATTTTTAAATAAAGATTCCTTGTAGCAGAGCTCTACCACCTACAATTTAATCACTAAGAAAGTGGGAAAAACAATATTCTTCTGAAAGGCCACAAAGCTTAAGGTACACTTGAACCTGGAGACATCAGAATTCAGGCAAAGTTCAATCGATAGCTTACTAATCATGGTACCCACAAAGAATATAATCAGACACATTTGTTTCGACATATCCTGATCAGAAACTCACTCTGCGAACTTTTAAATTGCCACAGGCAACAACTACAACACAACAGTTAAGGGCCAATAATTTCTGACTTTCTTGTAGCATCAAAGTCAAGACACCCCCTGCCAAGCTTCAAAAAGACAGATAAAGGATGACCAATGAACAAAATCCATATAAAGCGGGAACAAAGCACGTTGCAATTTAGTAAAATATAGAAGTATTATATCGAATAAAAGTTGTGTTTTATGCAACTTTATACATGGCAATTACCATTATTCCGAGCTCATGAATAACAATTTTCGCAGATAAGACTGCTATAACATATGAGTGGTATGAAGGAATAAAGAATTACGTGAAATAATCATACATCTATGAACAGATGTTCAGATGTCGCTTCAACTGCTTCTCAGAGCCACAGTTATGAAAGCAGAGATGTTTCTTTCGACAACCTTCACGAAAACTGCTGCTAGCTTGAGATTTTGCTTCATTGAGATACCTATTCGTACATCAACTCCAATTATACTATCAATTTTTGAACAAATAATAACTATGTCGGCCAATTATCATTACTCCCTCCGTCCCATTTTAATAGTCCAGTTTGCTGTACTGTGATTGTAATAATCCACTTTGTTGAACTAAAACAGTAGAACAAACTGGACTACTAACATGTGACAAGTTTAGTTTATATTTACTTACATGTTTTATTAAACTCCGGGCGGCTTGCTCAAATGTATGAAAGAAAACCATGAGAAGCTTTATGAGCTGGCAGTATTGAGACTTTCTACACTTTTGTGTGTAGGTAAAGGTACAATGGAGTGGCTATTTGGTGCTCCCTTTTGCTTATACCCTGGAGTTTGCGTATCTACCAATCAATTCCTGAGCAAGCTTGATGAAACCTGAAAAGAAAATCAAACTCTAGTTGTTAGAGAAACATAAAAACCTCTAGTTGACACAGAAATGGAGTGGTAACAGCAAAACATCATGAGCAATCACTTGACTGCAAAAGATTCCACCTTTCCTCTGATTCTGTTGTTTATCCCTTTAAAGTGCAGTAGACATCAACCGCTATGGAATAATGATTTTGATATTCATATAAACAGGTTCCAAAAGGAACAGCCACTTTAACAATTTCTTTTCTTTTTAAGTCTATTGCCACTAATGTCGAACCCATGACCACAAGCTTAAAATCCCCACCCCTATTAACAGTAAGTCTCCTCTCCCAGAAGATAAGAGTTAGCTAAAAGTCATCTGTGAGAAGCAACAGATAACTGTTAACCCATCTACGTGTTACCTAAATTCAAGTTCATAAACAGCCAAATGTGTATCATCTAATGGCAGAGAAACCAAATCATCCCAGAACCCTAAAATGTGTAAAGTACCTTCACATGATGCGGCATGATCTTAATGTCATATGGTACATGAAGCCATGCATCTGGTGGATAGAACAAAAAGTTCTCTGGCCTGCTGGTATAAACATCGGCGTACTGGTGTATATGGTACGCAAATGCAGATTCTTGACTAGAATCATTGAGAAAAGTAGCACCAAATGTGCGATTGAACATGCTCTTCATCCTTTGGCGTGCCTTCTGCCTCTCTTCATTTAGCTCTACAACAAGTGCTTCATAAGCTTCACTTCGGCGATTGTTGGCAACGGTGGCATGCAGCTTACCAAGAAGTTCTTGTATTATATGAAATTTGGCCTATGAAAGGAAAATAGAAATCAAGTGCAGCCAATTTGGGGGGTAATTTTGTTCTTTTCCCATGGGTAGAGGACAGGAGAAAGAGACAGCATGGTGAGGGAAAAGATTCCTTAACAATTCCCTGGCATTAGTGCCATATGAGGGAATCTAGATGGAAACAATCATGATAATGACTTCAGTCTATAAGAAGAAAAGCCTGCCTGCATTCACTTTTTTCTCAAATTTAAAGATTTACAGCGACTTTTGTAGCTTTCTTACCAGCAACTTAACTAACATTTTCCAAAACAGAGCTACAAAGGCAGCATAATCTCATCTAAATAATTTGAAAAGCTGTTACATCGATTACCTGTTCAAATCTGTAGTTATCATCATTCTGTATCTTTATCTCATTCTGCAAAACAAAAAGAAAAAATTCAAAACAATGGCATGAAAAGGTCATAACGAAAGTACGATGTAATGTCATCACAACATTGATGATGATTACTATCAGGCTGACTTCAAGAGAGACAAGTTCTCAAAAAAATACAAACAATATTAATAATTGAATTAAATTGCCAACAGTTTAGAGATGACCATCTTCCTTGACTTTAATTCCGGAAAGAGGATATGCTAACAGCTATTTATGTGAATAAACAATAAAGTTCAAATAAATTGTTTCCCAATAAAAAGAAAAACCATGCAAATGTACAACTTATCACTATGCAATTTTCCATTTAAATCTTTTTTCCTTATGTGGGCCACAGGTAGTCTTAAAAGTATGTTAAAGGATTCTCATTTAACTTCTTTTCGGGAAAAGAAAAAAGTTGAAAGTGGACCATTTTTGGTGCGAGTTGAGTGCTAATTACATCCAAGTACCTAGCTTCTCGCAGAAAAAGACTTTAGTTTTCCTCCAGAGTGTTTCGTAAAAGTGTAAATCTGATCGACAAAGTAAAGTTGAAAGTGGACAATTTTTTGGTGCAGAGGTAGTGCCAAGTATATCATAATTAACCTAGCTCGTCACAACAAGCAGAAATATTCAAGAGGCCCCTATAAGTGTTTTTGAAAGTATTAATCTAATCCACAGAGAAGACACGGCACTGGTGATCACCAGGAACCACCCAAATGCACAAACTACTAATCTGCAAGAGTTATTGTTGTTTAAACTCTCCAAGACAGCTAATTTCCTTCTTTTACCACCCAGAATGATATTCCAAAGTTAAGGGCTCCGCTATTCTTCTAACTCATGGTATTTCAGAAACACCATTCAGGCATATATTCAAATGCATCCCAACAAATCGATAAATAAGTTTCAGTTATCATCCATCAGAGCAACATTATGCAACACAGCCTCCCTCCATAACAACTAGAAATGAGTTAAAAAACACAAAGAAAGCCTCACCGCCAATTCACGGATTATTGCAGCAGTATGCCATCCAGCCTTTGAAGGCCCGCTCAGGTCACTAAACAGATGATCCCCAAAGTATATAACCTTGAATTTGCAAAGAAAATTGTATTAGAATTAATTAAGCTCATAAAGTGGCATAACAACCCTGACTAAATGAGGGCAAATTAAACAAGTTACTACTTTTATGATGATCATAAATTCATAATTCCTGCATGTTTTTATACCCATATCTTGGTAATGCTTAATAATTCCAATCCTTTGTTCACAGGAAGCTAGAAAGTTTAGGTGTGTGCCATCCTATTCAGCAAAGAGGGTTTTAATTCAGGTCGTGAACATGTATGATCTGAAATGAATAATCTTTTATAGCAAGCCATAAATTTGCAGTACTTTGTTTTCTGGAAGACAGAAATTTAAAGCGTCTCACATCATATCCAGCAAGGAGACTTCTAAAACTAGTTGTGAATGGCTTGTCTGAAATGAATAATCTTTGGCAGCAAGCCATAAACTTAAATCTTTTCAAAATTACATACAGACTAAACTGATTGATGAGAACCTAAAGATGAAGCACAAAGACATAACACATGTTCCTTAGAATCCATGTACTTCAAACTTAGAGTATGTCTCAGACAGCCACAAAGCCAATAAGAGTAGAATGCAGCTGGAAGGAGATTCTGCTCATCTTGGCATAATGCCCCTCTTTGTTTGAAAGACAACTTATATCTACCTAACGCTCTAACAGCAGACATGCAAGCCAGAGAATTACAAATCATCAGAAAGCTATAATACATACCTCTGGACCTTTCCATTGTGTAATTTGCAAGAAACTTTTCAAGCATCCATGGTAATAGATTTTGTCAGGAAGAAATGTATCCACCTTTGAGAATGCCAGTGTGTCCTTCTCCACATCATAACAGCTACAAAAGAAGGTTAAGCTCAATAGAAATACCAGAATATGTTACTCTAGAGAAATTAATACTACCTCTGTCCCAAAAAATAGCCCACATTGAGTTTTCATATTTGTCCTATTTTTAGTACAAATTTTAAAACTCAATGTAGACTATTTTTTGGGACAGAGGGTGTGGCAAAGAAAAAATCCGGCCGAGCACCATGATTCATTCAATTCTTGTATCCTTGATCATGAAACTTGACCAAAAATAACTAAATATTTGTTTTTCTGTATTCTTAATTATTTTTTTTTCCCCTTTTGCTTCCGACAAAAAGAACATTATAGTCGGAACCCAAAATACTGATTCTTCCTGAGCTAAACTAGTACTCCAAACAAATGTGATAAGCTTAACCCTTTGAAATCTCAAATAGATAACTAAATTGCAAATATTTAAACATATATTTTCCCAGTATCCAAACAATTTCTGCAAGGAAGAAAGAGATTAGATGCATGCCATGCGGTTTATCCATCAAAACTGGTATCAACATTTGCCATAATCAATAAAGATAAAGTCCCAAGTTCTGCCCAACCTATGACTCCAAAAGTTGCGCAGAGCAAAGTTAAGAAACTAACATGATTCACTAATGTATGGGTTGTTTTTACCTGTCCAAATGCTCGCACAGTTATAGGAATCTTGTCAATTGATTGACAATAGGTATTCCTCTAAGCTTAAAGGCACCGGACAAGGAGAAACAATATTTATACCATCCCCATTTTCCAATACTAGGGTGAAAAATGCACTAGTTAGTAGTTAACACCAGCCGTACCGAAATGGATGTTCAGAGGTGTAGAAGTCTGGTTTGTTTGCTTTAGCAATCACAACATCAAAAAGCTCCCTCCAGGAATCCTGTGGACCCAATGTTTCCTGACAAATAGCTGAATCAAAATATTGAAAGACTCATTTGAAGCTTTGTCCGCCACACACACACAAAAAGGAAAATAGTTGTACGCTAGTGATCAAAGGAGAAACTATAGAAATATAAAATTTTTAGATTTCAGTTTGAATCATGAAATAGAAACAAATGATGTTTTAAAATAATAAGGAAGATGGAAGAAAAAGGTCAAAAGGAAAATGTACTCTGCACAGAACAGGCTATACAGCATGGATGCAACATGGGGAAAAGTACACTCAAAGAGACAGGAAACCTCAAGGACCCTACAGGAGTGGGAGCACAAAATATAGAGAAAATTAAACATCATCCCAATACCCTTATATCCTTTAAGTATTAAGCCTGAAAGATTCAAAAAACTTCTTGATTCCCTCCTCAAATAAGGATATGCACCAAAACTTCAGCATCATTATTATAAAAACAAACATTCCAAGAGAAATTTCTAAAAAATAAGTCATAGCTATTCTTTTCAAGAAAGGTTTAGACCCCAAAAAAAAGAGAGCCAAAAAGGAGTTAATGTGAAGAACTATATAAATAGGTGGATTTCCCAGAGAAAAACGAACATTCATAGGCCTCTAATAAGTGTGGAGTATTAACAGAATTATTTTACCCCTTGGTTCATCTTCAAGGAAGCACGAAATAATTCACTCATAAAAGTCAAAGTTACTAACACTGTACAATCACTATTACCTCCAACAAGAAGCGCATCCCACCGTCAACAAAATAAAATGGGGAGTTGGTCAACAAGAAAAGTTTTTTCCCTTTCTCCTTCAACATCCTCAGAAACCGTATTAGTTGTCCCTATTCCCAAAAACAAACAAAAGAATAACTTCATTTGAACAGTCTTCAATGATGCCATAACATAAATAAAAGCAACTTCTAGTATATGAAATTGAAAAGAACTAAGGAAACATACATTCTTCATAAGATATCGATGGGGATCATTAAGGATTCCCCTATGAACCAAACCACTTATGTGAACATGTTGAATCGCTCGATTCACATCTTCATAGACGTAACCAGCATCAAATTCCAGTTTTGCATCAACAAAATGTTGAACAATATCAGCCAGAAGACATGCCTGGAGAGTAAGAAAACAAGATAAAGGAATTTTAGATACTCCAAGAGCAAGAATTCTACTTGCAACTCAATCATGTAAAAGATGCCCAAAAATACACAGCACAAAAGTAAATCCCAAGATGGATTCACACATAACCGATAAAAAGACCTTAGAAGATATAAACATGGTCTAAAGAATTATTGGTGCTTATTGATGCAGGTATGTTTACTGAAAATCGTACCAGATGTATTAACAGATATTTAGAACCACCCTAATAAGCATAGAAGAAAAGAACTTCCAGAATACATTTGTACAGTCAATTCTCGAGGCAAAGTATATAACTGTGATAATTCATTAGGGCTGAGTATCATAAAATGGTTGCTGAAACGGAGAATTACCAGTAAAACTTTGCTTGATCATTTGAGAAACGATTACTTTGTTAAATGTTAAAGAGTGTAAAGCGGTTCCTGGTCATAATGATTATAGTACAGAGTTTCATCTATGCTTACAGATGATCAACAGGGACAGTTTCTCAACTAGAACTAGTAGTCATCCAGATTTCTGGGAGAACGTCACGTCTACCATCTTGATTCCCATAAAATCAGGTCCAAATGTCTAGATAGTGCTTCATTCGAAAAATAAAGCAATCCGGTGAATGAGAACCTAAATTACGTAAATGAATACACTTGGGGACTCTGATAGGAAAAAGTTGACTGGAAAAAGGCAGAACTTCTTCAGCGCCTATTAGTTTAGCATGCAGTTCTACATGATCACAAACATAGGAGAAGTATTTGTCATAATCATGAAAACTACAAAAACTAGGGCAGCATACGAATGTGAAATACTTAAAACAACAAAATTATATGTCAATAGATTGGTGACAGAAGAAACCTCACTAAAGCAGAAAAAATCCATCAAGCAAACCAGTCTTCGTGCTTGGTCACGGCCTATATATCTACTCCCATAAATTTGTTCTATCTCGTCCTGGCTAAGCTGCATATTTAACACAACCAAAAGAGGTAAAAGTCAGCAACAAACAGATTTCCAATAAGGCAAAAACATCAAAGCTAATTTCAATAATTCGCTGGACTAGCATAATGCTTGAGTAAATCAAAAAAATCTCAAGGTATTAGCTCCTGAAAAGTAAAAGAAAACCCCTAAGATAGAAGAAGCCGATAATATATTATGACGCAACACTGTCACAGTAGATACGAGGTATCTTCGAACAGTGAAAGCTATAAAAACAAAATTTGTCTGTTTGGAGAAAACAGTCCAATCATGATGCTGGCAAAGTTTTCATCATGCCAATCAACACTCAAGTACAGGAACTTATTAAAAGCAAAACAAGAAAATCAAGTCGCATGAAGCAATGAAAAACATTCAGCTAACTTGCTAAGTTCAGCAACTGTGTGAACTGTAAAGCAGTCACTCCAACCTCTTCAGAAGAACACCATTATGAAATATGGAAGTGCACTTATAACATCGAGCAACAATTTCTTCCAGTTTAGAAGGATCACTTTCCTCCCGATTACTCAATCTTTTATGTGGCAATGGCAATGAAGACAGGCTCCAAATGTTAACACTAATCTTTCTTGCAAGGTTAAATGACAAGGGAATGCCAGAAGTAAACAAAGAGCGATAGAATACATTTATGTGCCCATTCTTTCATAGCTAGAAAAGAAACGTACAAGCCTACCGCACCCATAAGAAGTAAAATGGTTTACCTTTTGCCTCCCATAGTAGCAACCATCCGGTTCTATAGAGCCAAAGAAGTCCAATTTCATTAAACATCCTTTTGACTTGTCATAATATAACCCTCTGATAGGAAATGTATGATCATATTTGAAATCCAAGCAACTTTCCGGGTACTTAAACTGAAAAAGATAACGAAAAGATGTAAAAAATGAAGTAAAATCACACATCCGAATCTCCTCAGTTGACAATAGAGTAGAAAAGCTAATAAGGTTCAAAACTGACCTCATTGACTAAGTGCTCTTTAGCAAGGTTGTAGATCAAACACTGTAGGTTAGCAGAATAATGAGCCAAAGTATAGTCGTAATCAAATCCGTAGACTTGTATATTGTCCAATCTCAAATTCTTATTCACATAAATTCCTGCAAATTCAAAACCAAGACGAATGCCCCTAGCATCACAGCATGTAAGGGGAAAAACTACATTTACCTTAAGGAAAAACAGAATGGTAAAGTAAAACGTAATCAGATGAAACCTTCAGGATTCATTTTAGGCATTTGCCTCAATGCTTCAGGTACTTTAAGAAACCTCTCCTTAGCAGCATGGAATTCACGACTAATTTTCGCAATTTCATCCTCTGAAATTTGACTGTCTCTATCTTCAACAACCTGTTTGGCTAACTTCTCAATTTCCAATACACTCTCATCAGGAGAAGAAGTTGCAGAATAACCACAAACATTGCTTCCACCAAAACCTAAGGGAGGAAAAATCACAATACACACCATAATTGAGTTAATACCAAACATCGCCGTACACTCACTCTGTAAACGAACAAACACAAATTCAAAATGCACGTACAATCCACTAAAGTACCTTCTCGTTGTCCAAGAGTCGAAACGCGCGAAATCTGAAAATGAAAATCATTCTAAACTAAGTACAATGATCAAACAATACAATTGCGTCGAAATTCAGAAAAGAAGAACAAAAAAAAAAATTTCGTGATGATTGACAAAATGAATTCGTGTACTGTAAGAAGATACAAAAAAGCGAGCAGCCTAAAGAAAGTACTTACGCGGAGGGAGGAGGAGCGGAGGGGCACAAGGCGGCGGAAGACGGCAGCCATTGAAGCTGCGGAATGGAGAATTGTGTGACGGGGTTTTATATGTTTCTGGGTTTTAGGCGTTCGGAGTTCGGACTTTCAATTAAATAGCGACTGACGTGCTTAACTTACAACCGGTGACTTCAGTAGGCAATTTATTTATATATTATATATATAGTATCCAATGGATTTCATGAAAGAGGTCAACTACAATGCAAATTTTGATTGTTATTGTTACCACTTGAGAGTCAAAATTCTAGAATCAATATGTGTAGTTATGATTAGTGTGATTGATGATGAATTGATGATGTTTTGAATACAAATCTAATTTCGATAGAGATAATTATTATCCCTATTTTAATACTTCCTCCGTTCCAAAATAAATGTCATTCTAGAGTTTGCACACAGTTTAAGAAACACTTAAATAGGGTAGTTAATTTATTAAAATATCCTCAACCCATCGCATTAAAATAAATATTTACCAATAATATTAGTATTTCTTTTGAGTGTATGTCTGAAAATTTTTGACAAAAAATGCATTGGAATCCAAAAACGACATTTATTTTGGAATGGAGGGAGTACTAATGTGATCAAATATATTTTTCATATTATAAAATAATTATCAAATTTGTTGTTAATAATCCGCCTGATACAAATGTTTTTGAAATGGAAGGATTGACAGGAAAAAAAGAGCAAAAGTGAATTAATTTAGTACCAATAACTTTAAATATCATCGGCACACCCACTCAAATTACATGTAGTATCTCTCAAGTAGACAAGTTCACATATCATAGCAAACGGCAACAAATTAAGTTACACCCCAAAAACATCTTATTAATAATGTTGTGTTATCGGTATTGTTCGTAATATAGTCATCCGTTACATATTAATCTAATTTTAATTTAAAATAAAATTAAACATTAACGACAAATATTTATTTCTTATTTTTTCTCTATTTCAAATTTATAATTCACTTTATTGAACTGAAGCACTATATTAATGAAGTAGACTATTTTTTAGTTCAGAATTAATTATATATAGATTGTATACCTTTTTTCAGAAGAGGAACATCAATTCAATACTAATGGAATAATCAATAAAGCAAATTAATGAAACTTAAAAGCAACCTATAGTTTACTTCTTCTCTAATCTTCTAATCTTACTTTTACTAGTATTATTCCTTCAGGCAAGCTACATCAAGAATTTTAATTTATTTCGTGAATATTCGTGGATTAACAACGAAATTCAATGCATATCTCCTTAGTTGTTGGAGGAATAGAATGTATGCAGTTTGTTAAAGCTTCAATACTCCTCCAAGAGAACAATAATTCTTTTGTCCAAAAGAATAAAAAAAATTTATTTTTGTCGTTTGTGTTTTATTCATCAAAATAAATTATTTTTAGTTCGTTTTTTTTTTAACAAGGAAAATTTATCATAAAAAAAAAACGGGCGAAAAAAAAAGCTTACATCAGAAAATAATACATCATGAGAATCCAGGGTGTGTTTTGATGGAATACATATATATATATATATATATATATATATATCACAAAAGATGCGAATAATTGATTAACAATTTGCTGGTTCTGCATTGCCTTTTTTTCTTCCCTATCTCGAACTATCATCATCCAAACATGCATCCACTAATTAAATTGGTGCTTTGGACCATAACCATGTATATCCCTAATTTCAACTAGCTAGCTGGAGCATCTGGAATTTGATACATGAATTATTATTCGGTACAATCGCTACATCACGTAATATGACAAACAGCAACTGACAAAGTCACAAAGATGAAGATATTTGAGTTTGTGTGATTGTATTTTTATGGAGTAATATATGCTCGGAAAAAAAAAAGCAGAAAATTATTAACTTATTGGATTATTTACAGTAAACATTAAGGTACAACAACGATAAGATAAATAATTTTTTCGATCTCAAAGGTTGAAGTAAAGAGATCAAAGCGTGGCCAATGAACCAATGATGCTTCAATCGGGAAGCAATTCGGTGTTGGGAGACTTGGGGATTCTTTCAAATATTATTATTCGTTTTTTATTTTTCCCCAATCGTTGTTGAAAATCTTAAGAATGTATATAGAAGTATTGAATTGCTTGTTTCAAACGTAATCAAACGTAAATAATATGTATACTTTTACTCTCACCTTAGCACAAGATTTACAATCTTTTTTTTTTTTTTAGAAAAATATAATTTCATTAATTTGTTAGAAATTGTCTAACTGCATTTAATATTACAAAAAAGCAGTCTAAAATACAACTCACATCTTCTATTACATATTCTATTACAATCGTACTGTTGTGTTTGATAAATCTATACAGATCTATCCTAGTTAACGCTGGACATATTATGTATTACTAGGCGATCTAATTTGGCGTCTTTATGTTTCAAAGTTTTCCAATTCTTTTTTGGCATTTCGTTTTACCACTTTATCATTCTAATAATCAAGGATAATTATGTCACCAAGTCTAAATCGAATTGTTCACCGGGACTTATTTAATGACCTTGAGGTTCGAACAGTATCATACTTATTTGAGTTTTCGTTCATATAAGGCACACTAAAGTGATTATTTGAATACTTTTCACTAATTAATTTTCATGATTTGTTAAAGTAACTCCGTTTTTTTTTCACCCTGCAAATGTACACCAACCAGTCTCTTTGTAGATATGAAAATTTGGTTTTTTCAAATCTCAAATATTGACACATGAATCAGAATGATCGTACTAATAATATTATTAATTAAATTTATAATAAGATAAGAGAAGTAAGAACTTTTTTCCACAAAACTTACATGCAAATGGCCCCATGAAGTTAAATCATAATTAACAGTAGTACAATTTGCTTCCTGTTTAATATATGGCATCACATCAAAATGTGGTTAAAAGGGCCACAGGGCGGATCGCTTTTGCGAATTATTTCCCAAACTTTTCACTGGTTAAATGACTGCTGGACATCAAACAATCGACAGCAGGTGTTGGACACTTGACTAATTAATGTAATCGATTGTGAAGTTTTTGTTTATTTATTTTAGATATGGTACTATGAAATCATATATTCAATTTTGCCTTAAGTAAAGTGAAATACTATTCTTCGGTTTGTAGCCCGCCTTGTTGATCTAAATAATACAAAGAAATGAATTATTTTTCCGTAATAAAAAGAATACTGCATTATCTTTAAGTGTCTACATAACTGAACCCTATACATGCCAAATGAAAATCCGTAACTCACAACCTCGACCCTGTTTGTACATTTTTACTATATGTAGCATAGTCACATTTGACGTGCTGAAAATACATATTTGACTTTTTAATTGGATGTATTTAGAAGAAACCGTCGCTTTCCAAGATCACAGATTCTTTCCTCAAATTCCACATGTTATATTACAATATTTTATTAATCTATATATTATATTTAATCTCTACACAAAATTTATTTAGTGCATAAGGTTTCACGTTGCGCACTATTTAAGAATCCAATTCCATGTCCTCTTGTATAAAAGGATCATTTTCTTCCTACCAAACTCTATATAGTTCCTAAGTTTAGATCCTTGTAATCAACACACATCCTCCACGTCCAGTAGTTTATCAAAACACAAAAGAGCAAAGAATTTCAACCTTGGGGTCGAGATTTTTTTCTAAGACATTTGGTTGATGATGAGAATGAGAGTTGGAGGGGAGAAAAGGTTTGCTTTGCTATTAGCAGCAAGAGACTCAGATTATGTGAAGAAAGTATATGGTGGATACTTCAATGTGTTTGTTGATGCATTAGGAGATGAAGGGGAGAGATGGGATTTGTTTCGTGTGGTTGAAGGTGATTTTCCGGATATGGATGAGCTACAAAATTACCAAGCATTTGTGGTGAGTGGAAGTCCTTATGATGCTTATGGGAATGAGCATTGGATTCTCAAGCTTTGTTATCTCTTGCAAACCCTATTTTCCATGCAAAAGAAAGTTCTTGGCATATGCTTTGGCCACCAAGTAAGTCATATGTATTAACTCACTAGCTAGGCCCAACATTTTGCTCATAATCTAAAGCCTTGAAAATTCTATAATCCCTACTCCTGTCGCAAAATAATAGTGTATTTTGTAGAACTGTTTTAATTAATACGTTTTTTTTTTTTAATAAATCGTACGTCATTATAATTATTCATTTGCTTGAAATCTTGATAGGTTTTATGTCGAGCACTAGGAGGATCAGTTGCAAAATCAAACAGTGGATGGGATATTGGAGTAAGAGAAATCACAATATTGAAGGAACTCTTGCCTCGCAACTCATTTGAATTGGATGAAATCCCATCATCCCTTTCTATTATTGAGTGCCACCAAGACGAGGTACATCTGTTTTCTTTCTATCATTGTCTGCTGCTTTCAGTTTTCCACCGAGAGAAGCAATCCATTCAATGAACTAAACAAGAAATTATTCTGGAAACGAACAAGGATTAATTAAATTAATATTTTTTTCGGTTTTAATGGTTTTGATAGGTTTGGGAAGTTCCAGATGGTGCACAAGTGATTGCATATTCGGATAAAACGGCTGTGGAGATGTTCTCATATGGGAACACTGTGTTGGGGATTCAAGGACATCCTGAATATACAAAAGACATTCTCAATAATCTGATTGATCGTCTGATTTCCGCACACTCTGTAGAGGTAAATAATTAACCAAACCAAGAACTTTAATTTCAGTTTAGGTTGTAGTTCAGAACCATCTGTTATTACTCATTTTATCTCAGAATGATTGTCTTATTTGTTACCCTTTCTGTCTTATATTGATTGTTTTGAATTTTTATTCTTAGTTTATTTTGTTACCGAAAATAAAATTCAAACTGGGCATATTATTTCGGGGTGGAAGGAGTATATTATATTTTTTTTAATGACTGAGTTTTTGTTAAACGTATATTTTGTATGGCAGAGGGGTTTTGCTGAACAAGTGAAGGCAAAATTGTTGATCACTGATCCTGATAGGAAGTATTGGGAAAAGATCTGCAAAAGCTTTCTTAAAGGCATATAAATCCTCAATTACACTATCAAATTTCTTTTCTTTTCTTTTTTATGGAGATTCGCTAAAATTTTGTATTATATAATTCAAATGATCCCAATAGTGAAGGCAACATATACTCCCCGTGTCATTTTCAGAGAATAATCCACACACACACACACACACATATATATATATATTTACTTGACACCAGCTTAAGAAAATAGAAACTTCTCAAAAATTAAGAAATCATATTCTTTATTTTGCAAGATACATTTCATTAGAAAAGGAGAATATTATTGTTATATGCAATTTGATTAGATAATGTCTAAGAAAAAGAGGAGCAAATTACATTGGACGAGAAAATTAAAGGAACTTTATAATGGTCTCTCTCTCTCTCAATCTAATTAATCAACAAGTGAAACCAATAGAGTTTGTTTGACAAATAGGTGCTACTGGCCAAGTTGTTTCTGTAATTTGTTTGGAAGGTTTCCATATAACACTCACTCTCTCACTCTGTACCAAAAAAAATACTAATTCAAATTGAGTTTCAAAATTCGTATTTTAAGCTATATAGTTCAAATTTATTTGTTTCTATATTTTCGCAATACATATATAAGAAAGATTAAGATAGATATGAATCTTTCCTTTCATACAACACGAGTTACTTCCAGCAAGAACGAAAAAAAAAAAAAAAAAGGGGTATCAAATTTCTTTCTCACAGATACTGTATAGCAAGAATTTTTGTGGAACATTGTCTGAGACAATCCTCATACAACACTAAAGCTCTGTAACTTTTTCAGTCTGTATATTCCTGCATAACTCTTTCTGGACTATCAAATCAAAATTACAATGACCGTGGAACTTTGATTATGAGAAAGGTAAACAAAAATATTATGAGTTCTCACCGTGATCAGACGTCTGTCTCTCCCTCTCTATCTGTCACTTGTTTTGTTGTTTACAATGTGAGGGCAATATCCCTTAGTACGATTTGAAATAATCACCAAAGCGAAAAAAATATTGGTGAATATTAGTCAATCAACCTTTAAAATGTTTAAACAAGAAGTAGCTGTTCTTTTTCTCCTCAAACCCCAGTCCCAGCAGAAATCCACTTTGCTTATCTTCCTTTTTGTTCCCAGGTACCCTTGGCAATTTGGAGCTCCACAATGGCACTTCACCTCTGGCCCAAATTGTATAAATCTGTAAAAGTGGTGGCATTCAATACAACGTTGAGCATAATGATCTGTCTAGCTTTAACTCATACCATTGGTCTAACAAAGAGGGATTTAGAACTGATAATCTTAACAACTAGCAATGACTTAATTGTAAGGAGGTTGATTTTCCAGTTATGCAGATCAGCCACAGTGCATATCACAAAATCAAAAGAAATACAAGGGGTAAGGCAAAGACTATATGGCAAACAGTAGACCAATTGAGACTTACCGATAATCATATGTCAAAGGTTCTCCAGCTTCTATACACTTAGCAGCAAAGACACCAACACGCGTCTCCCCTTCAACCTGCCTTTAAACAGACGAAAATAAAGTCAGAAAAGGGCAAACTTGTAATCTTTCTGGTGGCATGCTTTTTTTCTGTGTCAAAATAAAAGAAATTCTCACTTTTCCCTCATATCAGATTTTTTTAAATGGTGTGATTTATGCTGAACCAGTTTGAACCAAACAAAAGCAGCGAGGGGAGATGACAAGCAGACAAAGCTATACATCTAACGGACAAACTAGTTATCATAACAGAATAATAAGAAATGGTAATTCGAGGGGACAAGCCAGAAGAAGTACTTCTATGATTCACACTAACAAACATCAGATAATTATCAGGTGGCAAACCATTTGCAAAGTTTTCATCAGATAAGTGTAACATAGTTAAAACACTCTGATTTTCTTTCTTTACATTTTGCTCCTCACAACGATAGATCATCCTAGGTAACTTAACTCAGATACATAAGTTGGCTATGTATGAGATTCTCCTGACAAAAAACAACCAAAAAAAAAAAGAAAAAAAAGGAAGAGAAGATATTACTAGAGTATTTTTGCAACAAAAGCTATACTGTATCCAACTAGGTGATTTTAAGAGATTCAGCATCATCAATCCATTCTTACTATCTGAGATAACAACAGAACTCTGAAAAATACAGGAATAGAACTGGAAAAGCCAACATTACTAACCATTTTTCCAGCTTACAGTTTGGATCACAGCTGTGGTTCAGAAACCTCGAGGGATTTCCCTTTTTTGTTGCATCGATAGTGAAGTCTTTTCGCAGCTCACACATGTAGAAATTTTTTATTTTCTTGTGCTTCATTTCCCATAGTCTTTGTTCACAAAGAGCATCATCTATAACTGCATACCAACATGCAGCAAAGAACTTAGAGCTGACAACCAACAAAACTCTTCTGATAATATGAGTAGGTCTATCAAACTATTGCATTGGGAGAAGTTGGAAGCAATGTGATGATTAGCTATAGTTGCTTGATATACAAGAATGTTGAAGAAAGTCATGAACATACTCCACAAATAAAATATTATGCAAATTACCTTCTCCAACGTACTCAATTATGAATTCACCTTTATTGATTGGTTCAGCAGCCACTACACCCCAACCACAAAGCGCAGTCTAATATAATGCAGAAAAATGGACTCAGGAGAAAGAAAAAGTTGAACAAAGGTGTAAGAAGTAACTGACAAACAGTGTGGAGGATTAAACTATCAAAGTTAGATTTTACCTGGACAATGCTTATCTTCTTTTCGTTCCTGAACGGTCGATTAGTGCACCTTTCAGAGCATTTACAAGCCTTTGAGCAGCTGATGCACTGAACCCTATCAAATCACAAGTTCATCAAATGAACAGCTGAAGTATATGAATAAACAACATGCAGTCTTGAGCGTTAATGCAGTACCTAAGGTCTAGCACCGGTTTGGCTTACCTATATCTAATGCAATACCTAAGGTCTTGACCATACTCATCAAGAAATGATGCTTAAATGGACAGACCACTACCCCTATCTATTTCAGATGCTAGTTATCTTCCATGTCTCTTCACGCTACCAGGTTTATCATTGCCTCTGATAATGGTTGTCTATTGCCTCACAAACATAGTTAATATCATATATGCAACCTTGTATGGACATTAAGGAGGATCATGGCAAGACTAATCAGTTGTATACTCATGGGGACAAAAAAGATGATGCAAACTCATAGGAGCTATTTGACACCATTAGCATCACTAACTAAACAAGTTTAACTTTAAGTTGGAACTTTTCTCTTTTGCTTCCTTTTTCTCAGGGCAGAGCAGAGGGATGGGGAGGTTTGCTATGAAACAAACAAGTCAGCCAACAACAATTGCATGACAACATTGAACATATTTCTGGAGCGAGTTATACAAAAATAATAAATAAATTTAATATACACATATTGCAATCGTAATTGAAGTTTTACCTACACACACAATCTTCAGCGCATTCAGAGGAATGGCAATTTGTGCAACCAACATCAATAACAGTATTTTCCCTCCTTTTCTTGATGAGATAAACATCTAACTAAGTTAAGTACAACAACCATAACGGTCCATGGTAATACAGATATGGATGTTTTCAGGAATAGAAACACAGTGGGATATTACCATCAACCCCAAAACATGAATACTGAAAGAACTTAAAAGACTCTGGACGAGTAGGATACTTCTCTTAATGTGAATATAAGGCGGTGGCTCCAATTTATTCTCTACTGCATCCTTCCAACTCATGTCAATCATGAACTCCTCCTCAATGTAGGGTAAAGGCAACCTACAGAATATTTCCTACACGTTAAAGTTGGAATTTTTTATTAGATTTCATTTCCCGACGACCATTTTTTATTCTAGATTCATGGAAAAAAAAACAACAGTTAATAAGAACAGAAGCACTAACTACACCTATTGAAAATATTAACTACCAAAAACATAAATCACAAATAATTATAGTATGTTTAGTCTCAGAAAAAATAAAAGGACTAACCTCCAAGCTATCTGATGGAGTTGATTGCTGCTCATAAGAAAAGATATGTAAGTCCAATCAGGCAGCCTATTCCATTGAAAATAAGAATCAAGCAATAAAAGTAGCATATATTGTGGAGCTAAACATAGAAAAACAACAAGAATTCTGCGGAACACATTTATAAACGAGATTTTATATTAAGTAGAAGATTGAAAAGAAACGAATAATAGAAAGGACACTCAGTGAAGCTAGCAGGAAATCCTGATTGTCACATAGCTCAACCAAAAGTAAATTCAGCAATAATAGCAAATAACTGATAAAACAATGCTTCAAATATGTGGAAAACATGTTTAAAGGAGACATGTGAAAGGGCAACCGTGGTTGAAAGTTGAACAAGGAAAATCTGTTTGGAAAGAGTTGCAATATAATGATGGTAATCACACATCATGTGCAAATGTACAACTCCTTACAGAGCCTGCACATTTTTTGTTCACTTGAAACTTGTGTAAACTAGAAGCAGATATTGATTCACTGATGTCAGTTTTTAGAACCCAGAAGTGACTGCTTGCAGGAAATGCACGTCTATTTCCATGCAATATAAGAGGACAGGACTTTCAATTATCCCCAGGTAAATGATATCCGCAAAGATATCTCGGATGAAATTCATAATTGTAAATTAAAAAAGAAAAACATGCATCAAGAAACGAACAAAACATGATATTTAAGGACAGGTTAATTTTTTATTTTTTTGGAAAATAAAGGACGGCTTGATTCATCATTTGGATAAGGTGATACACAGATAACCAGCACATGACTCCAGTAAAGGACCACATAGGACTAATTTCTGTGAAACGTGGGAAATAAAGAAAGGAAATCATATTGACGAAGGAAGAATCGACCTCTAAGTCTGAACGCCAATCATCAGGATGTTTCCAACAAAGCACTTGCCCAGGATTATTAGGATAATAGATAATGTGCTTCGGGAATGCTGCGCACTTGATGTGTGACGCAAGATGACATCTCATACACCGTAGTAACCGAATTTTATCTTTACATAAGTAGCATTCCTGTCAAAAGGAAAGAACAGGAAAGATACAACCTTTGCTGAATCGCTAAAAACATTAATCAACTGAAATAGCATTTAGTTAAACAAGGTGTCCATGGGTTCCAGATAGCAAGGGAACCACAACAATCAACATCAAACTACATAATAAGGTGCATATCACTGGAAAGCTGAATCTACAGAGACAGTGTTAACAAAAAATCAGTTCTGCACAGATAGTGTTAACAGGAAATCAGGGCAGTATCAGGCAGTTCTAAAACATCAATGATAGCTTATGAAGTTCATATCTTGCTTCAATAGTTATATGAAAGTACTCATTGTGTAATCATTCCTGAAATCGTGAAAACTATAGGTAGAAAGTAAATAGTCTGGTGTTGGAACAAACAATTTAAATGTTCAGATATCATGCTTCATCACAAAACATATAGGACAGACTTCCAGAAAATCAATTTGCAAAACTTGGTTAGCTTGACAAAGCAATCCAAGGAATAAATTGAAAAAGAATTTACAAATATGCAACCCAACTGTTACAAAAAGAGTTCATAGTATGAGAATTTTGCAAACTATATAGAACTTTAGGCAGAGGAGAAACTTACATGCTGAGGGCACTTGAATGGTTTTGAAGATGAGAATCCAAGCCTTTCTACTGCACATGTCAAGTGATACACTTCTGGACAATCGCGAACAGAGCATATAATCCCTTCTTTTGGATATATTGAATTCTTACAAACACGACATTCAACCTGAGATATATATAAAAAAAAGAAGAAAATCACCCCGCATTAGAAACTCCACATGAATCACAAAGGAAGAATAGTCTCCTTTGTTACATCACAGCCAAGGTGATTGTTGATTTCTGAGTCAAGACATTCAAAAGAATCTACTGGTCATAAGAAGAAGGTTGTAGAGATTACAAAAGCAAGTCACAGCATGATTCTACAGCTTGATGAGACATTAAGCAGTCAATGTTGCTATCCTTTAGTTAGTATTTATTCAGCTAAAAGGAGAAGCCCAGAATATTCTTTAGCATAAAACCATGATGTCACAAAGCCATAAATTTATCTCCTTTATTGACAACGTAGAACTAGACCCTCTGTGATATAGAAAGTGCTTATGAATTATTCGATTTATCATAGTCTACCAAAAGAAATTAAACACCAACTCGTTTTAATTTTTCTTGAATAAATTACCAAATGAGAGAATGCTTTCTGGAAATATTTTGAAAGAAATTTCACTGGCATAGAGCCATAAAGATAGCAACTCCAGTTCACGACGTTAAGCAACAGAAGTTGCAATTTCACAACTTAAAGCAACAAAATATTAGGTAAACCCAGTGTGCTTAGGATATTGTGTTGCCAAATAACATAAAATGATCCAAATCAGAACGGGATCAGGAATGAACCTCCTAAAAGGTATGCAAGAAACACAATTAAAATGCAAAGCTTAGCAGATGAAAGAAAATCTTTATATGCCAACATGGCTACCTTAAGCAGGAAATTCTGTTCCTTCATAATTCTAACTTCAGGGCCCAAGAACCACACAACCCAATGACAGAATATCAGTATAATCACTGCAAATTCCAACACACAGACCATGACTTGTGTTAAGTTTCCTAATAATTTCACATAAATTTTAAAGAAAAAGGGATTACCAAATTTGTCGGCTATTGGTGTCAGATATAATTTCACTCCAGCAAAGATGCAAGGCCAATTACATCAAATTTAAACATGATTCAAGAAACAATCAAAAGGCACAGTGAACAGCGAACGAAAATCACACTAGACATCAATGCCAGCAACAGAATCCATCATTCAGCTGGCAGCAATTCAACAGAATTGATCCCTATAAACAACCTGCAAAAAACCGAAGAATTACCATTTTTGAGCCATGGGAAAGAAAGGGAAGGTAACATCTGTGCTCAGAAATGCCGGCTTTGACTCTCCTCTGAACCCAATCTTTGACATAGTCATCCAAGCTCTTAATTGGCCCCATTTCAGAACCACCCCAGTTGCTCTTAGCTCCAATTCCATCTCCGACATCGCCATTGCTAGTAAATTCAGATTCTACCGCAAGACTGCCGGCTCCATGCTCGTTCTCGCGGAGCTTCCTCACCGGATTCAGGTTTAGGGCTTTGACTGTGAACAGATTTAAAGCTCGATTAGGAATGGGTTTCACTACATTGGAGTGAGGAACGATGGGTAGGGAAGGTGGGGATGATAATGTGTGAGATTCTAAGTTAGGCATTTGCTCTGTGGAAGCTTGGATTCTTCTAGAGAACCCTAGAAATTGGGAATTTTGAGAGAGGATTATAGTTCAGTATTGCAGGGGAGGGTTTTGAAAGAGTAGCGTACACTGTTCGGATTTGGGAGTCAAGGGAGCCGAAAGGTGGGGTCAGGCTATAGGATTTTTTGGCGGGAAAGCCGAAAATTCTTGTATGAAACTTGGAGGAGAGGGAATTTTTTTGCACTTGCTGGTCCAACTTAAAATATATATATATATATATATATATCATTTGATTCTTTGGAAAACATAAATGAAATCATTTGAATTAAGGATGGAAAATTGTGATTTTAATGAGAAGTTGAAAAGATTATGTTTGTGTTGCCGAAAAATTCACTAAAGAGACGTAAATTACTCTAAACAAGTTCGGGGATTCATATATGTTGTAGGCATATCGGAGAGCCAATATTTAGTCTACCGGGGAATTAAACCCAAATTCTCCTCTAAAAAACAATACTTACCATTAAGTCATCGAAACATTTTAATATAATTTATTTTTTTATATATTTTATAAAGGATGTAAATTATCGGTGTGACTGATTTTTTTCGATAAGTTATGAACATCTTGACAAGTAGGAAAAGTTTGTCAAAGGATTTAAGCTTTATTTCATGTAGACGACGGAGTTTGATTATCGACTTACAATTATATAGTTGAATGCATTTGATGCAAATGAAAAAGGAAAAAAAATTATTCCTATGAGCAAAAAAAATAAAAAATTGAGTGTAACTGTTAGGAATCACCCGACTAGAATAAATAAGTTAGTAGTAATCTTCAGAAATAAGAACCGCTTTATTTCAGAAGAAAAGAACGGTTTTGCTAGCTCATTTCTCAATTCGAAGCAGAGCGCTTTTTTCTCTTTTGGTTTGAGAAGAAAAATGTCGCAGCCGTCCACTCCGTCACCTGATTCCGGTGAGTTACTTTCCCTCCCTTCCATTCTCTCTTGAATTTGGCTTAGCCGAGACACTGATTCTTAGCATAATTCAATTATATGATGAATTTTGGCAAAGTGAAGAGTACGCCTGAATTCTTAGTTTGAATAATTTAGGGCTTGTTTGTCCAAGTCTCATTTTGCCATTTTGTTTTGTTTTACCTCTTAAAACATCTCTCAAATACAAAACTCAATATTATCCAAATAATTTTTTAATTTATTTTTTAAAATTTATTTCAAACATTATTTTTACACCATTTTTTTGCAACATCACCGGACCACCTCCGCTGCTGGGCCGCCTACCGCCGCCGTCGAACCACCAGCCGGTTGCCAGCCAATCGGTCGGCGGCGGTCCGGCGGTGGCGATGGGCGGTCTGACGGCGGCGCCAGTGGTGGAGATGGTTCGATGGTAGTCTAAAAATATTATTATTTTATTTAAAATATTACCCAAATAATTTTTTAAATTTTCTTTCAATACATATTTTAAATCACATCTCAAAACCAAATCAAAAACTAAAACAAAAACAAAAATAAAATGTTGACCAAACAAGCCCTTAGGTATCAATTAGATTTAATCGTAAAATAGCTTCATTCTCCGTTAGATTCGTTCGAGAGTCCTATTATTTTTGGAACTTGAAAGTAATTCATGTGATTTCATTCTCTGTTTAATTTGTCGAAGAGTTCGATTCTTAAAAATCATTCGGTTAACTATGTTTTCTCTGTTGGATTTAACCGAGTACTGAGTTCAATTCTTCGAACTACTTGTTACTTTATCCTCTCTTGAATTTTGACAAGTTCTCAAATCTTGGAAGTGTGATTTTGTTCTTTGATCTATGTTCTTGCAGGTTCCAAATCCAGCCGCGGATCAGCTGGTGGACTAGGTTGTTGTTTGTTTGTTTTTCGAATAGTAGCTTACAATATTTTCAATTAAATTGATGAACATTATGGTTTCGTTTCAGTTGCTCTGAACCAAACATTCGCCGGCATCCTCTGCAGCCATGATGGCAGTATATGAATTTGAAGGAACTAATGGAGAAGTTTGAGAAGGGGCACCAACGCAGGGTATATGACATAATACATGTTCTTGAAGGAGTTAATTTCGTCGAAATAAATGAGAGCAGAATTCAATGGAAGTAAGTTATTTTGTCTTTGTTTATATTGTGAATTATAAGTAGTGTATGCTCTGAGTTGCATGCTCTGAGTTGAATAGTGTCGTGAATGAGCAATCAAGAGCATGTAACAGTTTCTTACTAACAAGTACACATAACAAATTTATTACCAAGTGCGTCGTGCTCAAAACCAAATAAGTTACCGAAAGATTTTAGGATACAAGGGAGTTATTTAGAAAGCAAATACATACCTATGCGGCGTGTGGAAAGATTTTCTTTTCTTAAAAGATTCCAATTTCTTTCGGGGAGAACCAATTTCAGGACAGTTCGATCGGGACGAACATATCAATTTTCTCCTTCAGTCAACATTCTCAATAGTTCATTCGTCACCCATGCCCAACAGTTAAACATTAAGGCGATATACCTTGTCATGCATATCTACAAGGCCACATAGTTTCTCTAGCCGACAAAAAGTACACTGTGATGTTAGAACGACACTTATTTTAAAATTTTTTCGTTTCGCTAAAACGACACTTATTTTAAAACAGAGGGAGTATTAAAGAACTTGAATGGAATTTCATTGGGTAGTGTTTAGGTGGGGGTTTAGTAATAATTTTAATTTCTTTAGGTAGTCTAATAATTTCTAGTTATAACTATTTAATCGACTAGTTTCTCTTGCACTTTCTTAGATCTCGAGATTAAAATAAATCTTCATGCTATTATTTATAGTAATATTTTAAAGTTTATATGTAATTTCTTGTCAATCATTTTAGTTATAGGAATAGTGTCTTTTAGGTTAATGTAGTATTCTATACCAATAGTTATAACTAAACCTTATATTTCTCTTTATAATTAAAAATTAAGTCATCACTTTATATCAATGACGAGTTTAAATAAACTATTAAAAATTAAATCATCACTTTATAATTAAAAATGAAGTAATCATTTAAGTAGAGACGTTCCCAAATCGGGGCGTCACAACTCGTCTATTCCAAAACATATATTTGTATTGAAATAAAAATCCAAATCGGATAATTATTTTGTGGCGGAGAGAGTACCAAAGTTTCACTAGAAAATCACAGTAAACATGAAAAATGTGAACATAAAATGAGAACTTCAATATCGCTGGACTGTTTGAAGTTTGAACCACTTGGATTTACCATCGGCACCCTGATTAAAGTTAGGATAACGAAGATAGTAGGAGGAAATGAGCATTTAGTTGTTGATGAAAGAAATAAATGAAATGTGGTGAGGCGTGGGGAATGAGGGAGAAATGAGTGAGGGAGTAGGTTATGTTTATTGTTTCACTCCCTCCATTCCAAAATAGATGTTATCCTATACTTTGCACATAGTTTAAGAAACTTTGAAATAGGATAATAAAATTACTTAAATATCCTCAACTAACCGAATTAAAAAAATATCCACCAATGGTATTAATTCTTTTGAGAGTAATTTTGGAAAGAGTGAACCTCAAAACAAGTCATCAACCTTTAATATATTTCCACTCTAGGTCATCAATTAAATTTATTTATAACACAGGTTACCTTACTAAAGGTTTCATCTATTTCAGATTATTCTATTAATTTTGGCCGTGAAATAGTGACGGAAATCCATTTTTCACATGTTTTTGTCATTTTTTTATTTTTTTATTTTTTAATCTTTTGATTTTATTTTTTTTACAATTCTTCTTCTTATACTTCCTAACTACTGGTAGTATAATTCTAAATTTTAAAAATTTATTTTCTTTTTGTATTTAACTTTTAGATTATAAATTTTTTTTTAAAAAAATTCAGAAATGAAGAAGAAAAATTCGAGTTAAAGTAAACATGAAAATAAATAATTTACCACTTTTCAAAAAAATAAAATTAAAATAATTAGCTAAGACAAGTTATGTTTTCTAGATTATTTAATTTTTTTCAGCTTGATTGAATTATTTAATTATTAATTTTCACATTTCTTATTCCTTTTTTCTAATAATCTACAAGTTAATATACAAATAAAAAATTAATTTTTAAAACTAATTTGTTTGTTATTTGTATCTTAACTTCTAGATTATAAAAAAAAAGGAATAAGAAACGTGAAAATTAATAATTAAATAATTCAATCGAGTTGAAAAAAATTAAATAACCTAGAAGAAACAACTTGTCTTAGCTAATTCTTTTAGATTTTCTTTTTGTTTAAAATGGTAAATTATTAATTTTCATATTTAAATTTTTTTTAAAAAAAAAATTTTATAATCTAGAAGTTAAATACAAAAGGAAAATAAATTTTTAAAATTTAGAATTATACTACCAGTGTATACAAGTTAGAAAGTGTAAGAAGAAGAATTGTAAAAAAAAAAAAATTAAAAAGATTAAAAGATAAAAAATAATAATAATAATAAAATGACAAAATACCCCTGAACCTAAAAGCATGTGAAAAATGGATTTCCGTCACTATTTAACGGCCAAAATTAATAGAATAATCTGAAATGGATTAAAACTTTAGTAAGGTAACCTGTACTACAAATAAATTTAATTGATGACCTAGAGTGAAAATATATTAAAGATTGATGACTTGTTTTGAGGTTCACTCTTTTGGAAATCTTGGGCAAAAAGTGCACTGTGATGTTAGAACGACACTTATTTTAAAATTTTTTTGTTTCGCTAAAACGACACTTATTTTGAAACAGAGGGAGTGTTAAAGAACTTGCATGGAATTTCATTGGGTAGTGTTTAGGTGGGGGTTTAGTAATAATTTTAATTTCTTTTGGTAGTCTAATAATTTCTAGTTATAACTATTTAATCGACTAGTTTCTCTTGCACTTTCTTAGATCTCGAGATTAAAATAAATCTTCATGCTATTAGTTATAGTAATATTTTAAAGTTTATATGTAATTTCTTGTCAATCATTTTAGCTATAGGAATAGTGTCTTTTAGGTTAGTGTAGTATTATATACCGATAGTTATAACTAAACCCTATATCTCTCTTTATAAGAAAAAATTAAGCCATCACTTTATATCAATGACAAGTTTAAATAAACTATTAAAAATTAAATCATCAC